GCTTCTGAAACAGAACTAAATAATTTTTATTGCTATAAAATTTTTTTAGATGATAGTGATGAATATGGCAGACCCAGTAGAAACCTAACCTAATCAAAATAAATAAATGAATAAATAAATAAAAATTAGAAATTTTACTCAGTCTCAAATATGAAGGCTAAATGAGTAAATAGAAATTTGGACAACACAAAGGTTTAGATTAGATTAGATTAAACTTTATTGTCATTACACATGTAAAAGTACAATGCAATGAAATGCAGTTTAGGTCTAACCAGCAGTGCAATAGCAGCAAGTGCAGGATATAGGTATAAGTTATAAAGAGCTGTTATAGAAAAACTATGGTGACATTTACAGATGGATGTACAGTATTATCAACATTATATACAGGTTGTATTAGCTATGAACAGAGATTTACACTAAATTAGTATATGTACAGGTTGCTATTAATAATCTGAAGTGTGCAGATAGATAAACATAATTACAAATGTATTTATACAGTGGGTGTGTACATAATTACAAATGTCCATGTGCAGTGGATATGTACAGTTCAAATAAATGAATCAGTGCAATGTTTAGATATTTAAATATTTCTAAATGTAATAATAATATCTAAGTTTGCTGTGCTGTATGTTTAAAATATATACAAATATTGCACATATTAATATAATATATTTTAGAACATTTCGGAATCTAAAATTTCAGTAAAATTAGAGCTGTATGTCTACAGATTTTGTTTAAATGCTATAATAATTACATGCAAATGACACCGATGTCACAATATCACCACGAAACACACCTAAAAACATGAAACACAGACTGACTTTTTTTCTGTTATTTGTGTTTCGTTAACATTAGAAAAATATTTGATTTTAAAATAGTGTAAATTCTGAGTTTGTAGTAGAAGTGTTTAGTGTTAGATTGTACGCTTTTGAATTAAGTCTAATATATGATTATTAAATATATTTGATTGGGAAGTTATAGTGTTGTCTTTATGTTTTATTGTCAGTTGTCTCTTTTGTGCCTCTAAAAAAGAAAATGTATTATTGTGAAATTGAAACTTCTATCAATGTACGCAATGTACAAAATAAATTATATATTATTATATTAGATATTATTTTTATTTTTGTCAATTATGAAGTGTTCAGTGTTATATCACTAAGGTTGTCATGTTTTCTTCCTGCATAATTACAAATAAAATTAAAAGATATGTTTATACTGAATATCAGTTTTACATATTATATTTTATAAATTTTTTGACACATATTACAATGTTTTAAATATTATACTTGTCTTTTAAGCTTAACTTTAAAGTCAATATTACATAACTGCATCGAAAACTAAAAATTGAACAAGCAAAATTCTCTAATCAATACTTGATTCCCAATTACAGCTTGCTAACTGTACAGTACATGATCTTACCACACATTTACTTTACATATTTACTTCAGCACATACTTGAGAAGCTGGAAGCTAGTGTGGGTTTTTGAGAGTGATCCAGCAGTAGAGTGTCTTAAAAAGGTACCTGCGTCTGCTATCGGTGGCTGCGTACGGGTTGTCATCTCTTCAAGCTTTGAGGAAAGAGGAGTTCATCAAGACAAATCTCCTGCTTCACTGGAGCACATCAACCCCTGTCAAACACACACACACTCCAAGACTCACAGCTCCGCTTATGTAAATTGATAAGTTTCAGAGACACTGTGGGATTCCGACGTGCTTGTGTGGGGAGACACTGATGAAATCTTCACGCTTTTTTGCCCAGAGAGAGAGCACAGGAAGATAAATTAACACAATACACTTCTGACCCCAGTCCCACAGGTCTTAGACTACACATGACCTTATCAGATTTGGATGCAATTTAACTGATTTTGGATTATGTTGGACATTTGAGATACTGATTTATTTTATTTATTTATTTATTTTTTTGTGAAGGAAAAGGAGTTTTTTTAGATGGTTTATATATCTATGAGTTTGTGTATGGGCGACATGGTGGCTCAGTGGTTAGCACTGTCACCTCATAGGCAAGAAGGTTGCTGGTTCAAATCCCGGCTGGGTCAGTTGGCATTTCTGTGTGGAGTTTGCACGTTCTCACCATGTTGGCATGGGTTTCCTCTGGGTGCTCCGGTTTCCCCCAACAGTCCAAATACATACGCTATAGGATTAGAATAGGGTAAACAAAATTGATCGTAGTGTACGAGTGTGTGTGTGAATAAGTGTATGGATGTTTCCCAGTACTGGGTAACAGCTGAAAGGGCATCCATTGTGTAAAACTGTAACCATATTTTTCTTTCCTTAAAATAGCAAAAGTGGATTCGGACTTGCCCTTAATGTTTTTGCGCCATGTGCTTTAGACTTTGTGTCTAGATCCTTAAAATAGAACTCTAAGTCAGAATTTGCCAGGGGTATAAATTATTTCAGGCTGTAATGTTTTTCTTATTATATATTTATTTCTTTTTTTATTTATTTATTTATTTATTTTTTGTAATTTAAATTATTTTTATTGTTCAGTAGCCAAAGAACACACTTCAAACTACACATTCTCACAGTTTTTTATTAGTCACATATGATGCATATTCAGCCACTTCTCAACATCAAGAAAATAAAATAAAATTTAAAAAAACATATAGTAAACCTACATGGAAATTAAGGTTGTAGTACCCTTGTAAGACAAACTGATTCATCCTAATTTTAAACATGGCCAGAAATTATTCCAGTTTTAATGCACTTCTCCCTCATTATTTATCTTCCCAGCATACACTTGTATGATGCAATTTCTGTCATCCCATTAATCCTCTTTTACATTTCTGGCATTCTGGGACAATTACCAAAAAAAAATCATCCTAGTAGCTGTGATTCTTCCAATCTTGAGAAGAATAAAGAAATTTTTCCCTATTGGCTATCATTAGTTTGTCACCCAGAAGGTATAGCCATATTAATAATGTTATTTTTAGTACAAATTTTATATTTTGTTGACATTCTTAAAATTTAACATAAAAGTGTTGCCATTTTAGAACTTTTTTTTTACATATCACAAAAGGTGCTATTTGTCCAGACTTTTGTGTGTTTTTATAGACAGCACAGTTGACTTTTCTAACATTTATTTATTTTTTTTTGAAAGAAAGTTAGTAACACTTTATAACTACACACTTTTAGCATTTATGAGTACATTTGTAGTTCATTATTTAAGCATCAACTCTTAATACACATTAATAAGAAGTTCATAATTTCAGCTACAAATAGGACTTATAAACACATGTAATGTGCTTAATGATTGTATTTTCATATCTTATCTAAAAAGATTACTGTACAGTTTAAACATTATGCTGAATAACATAACTGCTGTATAGCAGGGGTGCCAAAATTAGGGCTGCACAATATTGGAAAAACTGCCATTGCAGTATTCTGTTTTTCTGATATAGATATTGCGACATGATTTCACCAGATCACCATATTTTGAAAAGAATTCCTAATTGTATATTGATTAGAATAATTTGTAGGGGAGTGCATCTGCATAAAATATACAAAATAAATTAAAGCACAGATTAAACAACAGAAAAATTATAAAAACAAGGTTTTCAGTTAGAGTTTAACAGTGTTGAGGTATAGAAGTTAAATAACCAAATGTAAAAAAAAAGAAAAAAACACTGCATCGTCTTTACTACAGTATATTATGTAATTAAACACAATTTGTCTTTGGTAAAGTGGTAAACTTTATAGTTTGTTGTGCCCAAATGGTTTAAATTCACTTGAAAATTTTGTCTCATGCCTTAAAAATCACATCCAACACAATCAATTTTATATTGATTAGAATCATTTGTAGGGAAGTGTATCCACATAAAATACACAAAATAAATTAAAGCACAGATGAAACAACTGAAAAATGACATAAACCAGGTTTCAGTTAGTTTAACAGTGCTGAGGTATAGAAATTCAATAATCAAATGTAAAAAAAAAACACTGCATTGTCTTTACTATATGAAATAATTACACACAATTTATCTTTGTTAAAGCGGTAAACTTTATATTTTTTTATGCCCAAATGGTTTAAATTCACTTGAAATATTACAGTCGTAGACCTTAAAAAATACATCAATAAAAGACGTTAGTTTTATTTGTTTAGAGTTAAATGTTGTAATCACTCCACAAGTCAAATGTTCTGAACTTGTTTTTCTGGTTAATTATAATTATAACTCAACACTGCAGATTCTGTGATGTGACTATGGCAGATTTGCACATTGCAATATCAATGCTGAAATTATATATTGTGCATCCCTAGTCAAAATCCATTTTTTTGTACAGTAAATTTGAAAAAGCAATAATTTAATAATACAACAAAAAATAAAACATTTTAGCGTTATTTAGCGATTTAAACTGTACAATAATTTTATTTTGTTGAAAATTTTCATCGATTTTTCTTTTTCTGTTTCGAATTTAACCAAGCCGGTCACACTTTACAATAAGGTTCATTAGTTAATGTTAATTAATGCATTTACTAACATGAACAAACAATGAACAATACATTTACTACTGTATTTCTTCATGTTAGTTAACGTTAGTTAATGAAAATTGTTAGTTCATGTTAACTGATGGTGCATTAACTAATGTTAACAAGCATGGACTTGGATGTTACTAGTGCATCAGTAAATGTTCAATTATGATTAATAAATGCTGCAATGTGTTGTTCATGATTAGTTCATGTTATCAAAGGCATTAACTAATGAACCTTATTGTTAAGTGTTACCACTAAGCCTTTATTTGTTATTTATATGGGGTTTACAAATCATAAATAAACTGCAGTAGTTTATATTAACAAAAGATTTATTAATATAAAGAGTAACTATTACAATACCGGAAAAACAAGATATACAGTATAAATGTGCATTTGAATTGTTTATCAGTCATTTAAACCAAAGAAATACTATCGTTTTTTATTTAAACCCATACTACCCAAATAAATCAAATATCCAGAAAATACCGTTGACATTTCTTCTGTTTTTCTCTAG